TGACTGGCTACTTACAGTATATTCAATCATGGGAGTGATTACATTAAAACATTGAGAATCATGGCCCAGTCAAGTGGACACACAACCTTAACCATCACAGCTGTAAATCCTATCTCTATGATATTAATGAGATGGGATTAGTGGCAGTTATGTTAATGAGGCAGGACTCAATCTACAAGATTAGATGGTGTCTTAAGCCAATCTCTTTTGAGATATAAAAGAGAGAAGTGAGCAGAGACATGGGGACCTCATACCACCAAGAAACAAGAGCCAGGAGAAAAGCGTGTCCTTTGAACCTGAGGTTCCTGTGCTGAGAAGCTCCTAGTCCAGGGGAAGATTGATGACAACGACCTTCCTCGGGAGCCAACAGAGAAAGCCTTCCACTGGAGCTGACACCCTGAATGCAGACTTCTAGCATACTAGACTTCAAGAAAATAAATCTCTCTTTGTTAAAGCAAAAAAAAAAAAAAGAAAAAATTCTGGGGTTCAAAAGTACAATAACTGAAATAAAAAAATTTACCACAGAGGATCAACAGCAAATCTGAGATAGCAAAAGACAAAACCAGTAAATCTGAAGATTGATCAAGAGAAATTATCCAATGTGAAGAACAGTGAGGAAAAAGATTTAAGAAAAATGAATAGTGCCTCAGAGACCTGTGGGACAACATCAAGTGTACTAACATATGCAATAAAGGAGTCCCAAAAGGAGAGGAAAGGGGCAGAATAAAAAGTTGAAGAAATAATGGCTGAAAACATCTCAAATTTGATGAAAAACTATTAACCTACACATCCACGCTCAGTGAACCTCAGGCAGGAGAAATACAAAGAGATTTGCACGTAGACAGATCATAGTTAAAATACAGAAAGCCAAAAAACGAAAAATCTAACAGCAGCAAGGTATAAATGACATATGACATAGAAGGGAGCATCAATGAGATTAAAGGTTAACTTTTCATCAGAAACAACAAGTCAAAAGGCAGTGGGATGACATATTCAAAGGGATGAAAGAAAAAAAAATCTATCACCCAAGAATTCTATATACAGCAAAACTATTCCTCAAAAATGAAGGCAAAATAAAGACATTCTCATAAATAAAACTACGAGAATTTGTTGCTAACAGAACTGCCTTAAAATAAATTTTAAAGGTAGTCTTTCAGGCTGAAAAGAAACGATAACAGGCAATAACTCAAATCCACAGAAATTAAAACAACTGGAAAAGGTAAATGTGGGTTAACATACAAATCTATATAAATACATTTACGTGTACAGCTGGATATATTATTTGTTTTCTCTAGTACAAATTAAACTTTTTTTTTGAAATAGCAAGTGCATTTATACTTTCTCTTTGTTTTTAAAAATTTTGTTTTAATTGTTGTAGTTTAAATCAAAGTTTACAATTCAAGTTTAGTCTCTCAGACAAAAATTTATACATACATTGTTATGTGACCCTAATCGCTCTCCCTATACTGTGACAGCACACTCCTCCTTTCCACCCCCGACTTCTTGTGTCCATTCAACCAGCTCCGGTCCCTTTTTGCCTTCTCATTTCGCTTCCGGACAGGAGCTGCCCATTTAGTCTCATATATCTACTTGAGCTAAGAAGCACTCTCTTCACGATTATTGTTTTATGTCTTATAGTCCAGTCTAATCTTTCTCTGAATAGTTGGCTTCGGGAATGGTTTCAGTTCTGCGCTAACAGAGGGTCTGGGGGCCGTGCCTTCCAGGGTCCCTCCAGTCTCAGTCAGACCATTAAGTCTGATCTTTTTACTAGAATTTGAGTTCTGCACCCCACTTTTCTCCTGCTCCATCAGGGACTGTTGTTGCATTCTCTGTCACGGTGGTCACTGGTGGTAGCCGGGCACCATCTAGTTCTTCCGGTCTCAGGATGATACACTCTCTGGTTTATGTGGCCCTTTCTGTCTCTTGGGCTAATACTTTCCTTGTGTCTTTGGTGTTCTTCATTCTCCTTTACTCCAGGTGGGTTGGGACCAATTGATGCATCTTAGATGGCCACTCGCTAGCTCTGAAGACCCCAGATGCCACTCACCAAAATGGGATGCAGAACATTTTCTTAATAAGCTTTGTTATGCCAATTGACCTAGATGTCCCTTGAAACCATAGTCCCCAGACCCCTACTTCTGCTACTCTGTTCCTCAAAGTGTTTGGCTGTATTCTGGAAACTTCTTAGCTTTGGTTTAGTCCAGTTGTGCTGACTTCCCCTGTAGTGTGTGCCGTCCTTCCCTTCACCTAAGATAATTCTTGTCTACTATCTAGTTAGTGAATACCCCCTCCCTTCTTCTTCACCCTTGCAACCATCAAAGGATGTTTTCTTCTTTGTTTAAACCTTTTCTTGAATTCTTATAATAGTAGTCTTAAACAATATTTGTCCTTTTGTGACTGACTAAACTCACTCAGTATAATGCCTTACAAATTCCTCTATGCAAATTAAACTGTTTTTTTGAGTTATAAATTTGTTTGTCTTTTTTTAGTGGTAAATTTAGAAGACTAGGTTATTTTATTTTTTTTCATAGCTTAGAAGCTGAAGATGAAGAAAAGCTTTACCCTTCCCCACTAAGCCTAAAGTTACTAAGGTATTAATTATTTTTGAGCAGTCAGCTTTTGGAGGTAAAAATTATTTTTCAGCTATAGAACATTATAATAACATTAAAAGAAAAAGAAAAAAAAAGACACTTCTATTGAAACTTAGCAGTTATTTACTTTCCTCTTCACCCCATCCCACTCTACCTCCCACTTTAAATCCTTTTGATACATAAATAAAACAAAAACAAAAAACCTGTTGCCATAGGGTTTTCTTGGCTGTAATCTTTATGGAAGGAGATTGCCAGGCTTTTCTTCCATAGCATCACTGGGTGGGTTTGAGCCACCAATCTTTAGGTTAGTAGTTGAGTGCAAGCATACATAAATACACAGTTTAAAACCTAGAGTTTGAGATACTCTCACATACTTTGGTGGGAGTTTAAAACTGGAGGGCAATTTGATGATTGTGTTTCAAGAATCTTAAAAATATTCATACCTATTGCATCTACCTATTCCATTTCTTGGTTTAATTTCAAGGAAGACTCAGAGATATATAAAAAGCTTATGAATAGCAACGTTTATCACAGATTTGTAGTGATAAAGAAATAGAAATAAGCTAAATGTCAATAAAAGGGAATTGGTCAAATAAAGTGAAGTATGATGTATCTACATGGTTGAAAACAACATACAATAAGAGGAGGCTATAAGTTAAGAAATCAGGATTACTTTACTTCTTGAAAGAATATATGAATAAAATAATTTTGTGGGTTAAGTACTAGGAAATTAATTTCTAAGAAAACTACAATTTATTTGCACAAGTTCATCCTATGCTTCAGTCTAACTACTAATCTTCCATTTAGAGGATTTTCTATAGAGCAAACATAAAAACTTGGCTAATCCAAACAATCAGAACTCGGGAAGAGAATGACCCTTAAATCTTTTTGATAGTAAGGAATTAAGGACAAATAAACCATCAAAAAATGCAAAGATAAATACCTTGTTTCCCAAGGCCGGGCAGTGAAGGCATAGGGCTTGGAGGTCAGGGCACCTACAGGGCAGATATCAATGATATTCCCAGACAGCTCAGACATGAACATCTTTTCAATGTATGTGCCAACCTGCATATCATTTCCTCTGCCTGTTGTTCCCAAATCATCTACTCCTGCAATCTCACTAGCAAACCTGGAAGATAAAAATGTACTGTCAAGTAGCAGAATCTATCAAAACTACTTCCTTCCCTATTCATGATCATCAAGAGTTAGTGATTTTCAAAACACTAAAAAGACAAGGCTATTTTCAATGGTGAGCAGTCATGAATCAAAAACAATTTAATGTTTGCTTTTTAAAAAACCGAGGTATAATATGCATGCAGAAAGTGCACAAATCATACCTATACAGCTCACTAAGTCAACACAAAATGAATGTTTGCGAATTATTACTTTTAAACCCAACCGAAGTTGGTATTAACTGAAAGTGAACAACTTATTCCATTTTGTTTCTGTAAAAAACATTACAAAAAATCCTTCTCCTACTAAACAAAAGTTGTCATCGCTTCCATTGTTGCTATTCCACCACATTGTGTGAATAAATAAGTGTAAAACTGACTGATATTCCAGAAGGGAAAGAGAGAGAAAGAAAACAAAAGCTTACCTGATGCAGCGAGTACACTGTATACATCTAGTCATAATGGTCTTTACCAATGGCCCAATGTTCTTGTCTTCTACAGCACGTTTCCCCTCTAAAAATCGGCTCCTATCACTTCCAAACATCATGGACTGGTCCTTAAGTAGATTATGAAAGAGTCAACCTAATGCTGCTAATGAAATTAAAACTTGAAACAACCAAAAAAATTTACAAAATTAGACTATGTACCTGCAGATCACATTCACCTCCCTGGTCACAAATAGGACAGTCCAGTGGATGATTTGCTAATAAGAACTCCATCACACCTTCTCTGTATGGAAAATCATAAGATATAAAATGATATAAATTGCTGGTATTCAAACTGATTTACATATAGGCTATTTAAATAATCTTCACAGATGTATGCTCTCTTACATTGTTAGTACTGATTTTACGTTTATTATAAAAAATTCCAATGTTAACCATTATCCTGATAGTCAATCTTGAAATATTTATAGGAGTCTAGAATACAATGTCATTGGAGAATCTAGAAAATTATAACTTTTAACAATACAAAATTATCAAAAATTTCTGAATGGTCCTCAGAAAATATTCACATTAATTCAAAACAAATACACACAAATGCAAACCCCAAACAAGTAAACACAATCAGTTCAATGAAGGATTAAATCACTCTGCCCAGCATTCCACTGCAATATTCTGAGCTCAATAAGCCCCAGGCTCATTGTCTGTCAAAAGTTGAGCAAGTTGCTGAACAAAGGTTTTTACTGCTGATCCCACTCTAGGCTCAATACCACAAACCTCTGACTTGACCTCCTCTACTGTCTGTATTCACTTCCACTGCCCCTAGAAGCCAAGCACACCAATTTCTTCAGAGCTTACTAATGAATTCCTAATCTCTGGGAAGGTCTAAAAGCTGAAATGCACAATTTTCTGCTCTAAGAAAGATCACTGCATGTAGCAATAATAAAGTACCTGGCTTTCCTAGACTTCTCTGAGTTGGTCAGGATATTCCAACCCTTCATTACAGGCATGGCACAAGCAGCTACAACCTGGAATTTCAATGGAAAAATTTATAAGTATTTGCATCCTTTACCTTTAGTTACAAGTAACCCAATATATAAAAACATTAAGTTATAATTTAAAAACAAGCAAAGAATATAGTATTTTTCTAACAGAAGTTCTAAAAATTTTCATTCATATTCATAATATGACAATCTGGCACTTTACATTTGTCATAAGAATAAATAAGAAATCTTACTTCTTAAGTTTATTCTAATATTCCTCTATAAGAAGTTCTGAAACAGAACATCAAATAACTGTACTTTGACTAGCAGGCACTACTGAATTAAAATTCCATAAGTCAAAATGCAATTAAAGTGAAAGCAAAGCATCAAAAACAAAAAAACACTTAGGAATAAATTTAACCAAGGAGGTAAAAGACTTATACACTGAAAACTATAAAACATTGCTGAAAGAAACTGAAGACTCAAATAAATAGAATGACATCTCATTTACGGATCAGAAGACTTAATATTAAGATGTCAAAATTACCCAAACAAATCTACAGGTTCAATGCAATGCCTATCAAAATTGCAAACTTCCTTGCAGAAATGGAAAAGCCAATCCTCAAATTCATATGAAATTGCAAGGGCCCCAAACAGTCAAAACAATATTGAAAAAGAGGGACAAAGCAGGACTCACATTTCCTGATTTCAAAATGTAATACAAAGCTACAGAAATCAAAACACTGTAGTACTCATACAAGAACAGACATATAAACCAATACAATAGAATTGAGAATCCAAAAATAAACCCATATATCTATGGTCAACTGATTTTCAACAAAGGTGCCAAGTCCACTCAATAGGGAAAGAATAGTCTCTTCAGTAAGTGGTGTTGGTGCAACTGGATTTCTACATGCAAAAAAAGAATGAAGCTGGACCCATACATAGCACCATATATGAAAATTAAGTCAATATGGATCAAGGATCTAAAGACAAGAACTAAAACCATAAAACTTTTAGAAGAAAACATAGGGGTAAATCTTTACGACCTTGTTTTTGACAGTGAATTCTTAGATATGACACCAAGAGCATGAACAACAAAGAAAAAAATAGATAACAACGGACTTCATCAAATTGAGAACTTCTGTACATCAAAGGGCTTTTCCAAGAAAGAGACAACCCACAGAATGGGAGGAAATATTTGGTAACCACATATATGACAAGGATTTCATATCCAGAATACTAAATATTAAATTACTCTTTGTATTAAAGAATATTAAAGAACTCATAACTCAATAACAAAAACCAAACCCAATTTAAAAATGGGCAGAGGACTTGAATAGACATTTCTCCAAAGAAGTTCTACAAACGGCCAATAAGCACATGAAAAGATGTTCAACATCATTAGTCATTAAGGAAATGCAAATTAAAACCTCAATGACACACCTACTAGGATGGCTATCATCAAAAATAACGAGTGCTGGCAAGGATGTGGAGAAACTAGAAACCTCATGCATTGCTGGTGCAGTCACTGCGGAAAACAGTTTACTGGTTCCTTAAAAAGCTAAAAATAGAATTACCTTATGACCCAACAATTCCACTCTTAGATTGTACCCAAAAGAACTGAAAGCAGAGACCCAAACAGATACTTGTACACAAATGTTTACAGCAGCATTATTCACAATAGCCAAAAGCTGGAAACAACCCAAGTGCCCAGCAACAAATGAATCGCTATACAAAATGTGGTATATGCATACAATGGACTATTATGCACCCATAAAAGGGAATGAAGTTCTGATATATGCTACAACATGGATGACTCTAGAAGACATGCTATACAAAATAAGCCAGACACAAAAGGATAAATATTATATGATTCCACTTTATGAGATACCTAGAATACGCAAATTCATAGAAAGTAGAATAGAGGTAACCAGGGACTGAGGGAAGAGGGTAATAAGTAGTTACTATTTAATGGGTATAGTTTCTATTTAGGATGATAAAAAAATCTGGAAATAAGATCGTAGTGATGGTTACAAGCATTATAAATGTGGTTAATGTCACTGAAATGTACATTCAAAATAGGCTAAGATGGTAAATTTTATGTATATTTTATAATAAAAAACAAACAAAAAAAATGAAAGCAAACCTCTTTATTGCAATACTTTTTACTAGTGAAAATGGTGCAAGATAAGTAAGCACTTCTAATGTACTACTTGGAAACTCCACATTCTGCTGGTTTGCTATGTATCATTATTTGAAAATACAGACAACTTTAAGAAGACACCTCTAATTTTAAACTACTACAATCATATGACACTTGCATTTATAAAGCACTTTCATCAATGTGTTCCCAGTTTTGAAATGAAGAGAATCAAACAAACAAAAAATATTAAATTTAGAAGTAACCATACAGCACTACAATACTGATTCTAAATAAAGTTGGCTGCAAGATTTAAAATTTTCTACCTTCTACAGCATGGTGTGGAATTTTAGGTATCAAGTACCTTAGGAGCTTTCTCAATTTCAACAAGGCACATCCTGCAGTTTCCAGCAACAGACAATCTTTCATGGTAACAGAATCGAGGGATCTGTATGCCAACCTTTTCACAAGCCTACAAGACAAAGTTAAAAAAAAAAAAAAAAAAATTACATTAGAAGGACCTGACCTACCTCACGCTGGTTCTTGCCCAAAACCAAGGAAAAAATGATGCGACACCCACCTATCTTATCACTCCAATCTATAAATTTCATCCATTTTATTTCAGTCTCTGAAGACATTTCCTTCCTTCTCTGCTCTTGATCCCAACCTCTATCTGCTCTGTAGCTGCTTCTTTAAGGATGCTCAGCATGCTCACACCTTATGCGGAAGAAACTGGATAAAGTACCTTTAGACCAGGCTGAAGTCTTGACTCTCAATATCTGCTTTGAGCCATTGTCCACGGCTTCCCCCACAAACTCTGCCCTGGTGGTTTCATACCTGGAATTCCTCCTTGCCTATCTCTCCTACTTTGGATTAGAGACTCCATTTTACCTGGTCTAGCTGGCTATGATCTAATACTATCTTGAGACACCATATCCTTGGCTCTATACACCTCACCCAGGACTCACTCTCTCACTGTGACTGAAAATCTTCCCAGCTCTTGTTTGCCTAGTGAGGGGTACTAGCGTGTTCTGGGGCCCTGCTCTACCAATTATCACCTCTACCCTCTCCAATGCCAAGAGCCTCTTCCTTCATGTATAATTGTGAATTCCCTCTAGAGTTAGTTCTTTCATTCACAGCCCTCACTCTAAAGCAATCTTATCAAATTTCAATGATTTAACTATTCAGTTAGCACAAACGTATTTAGTACTGCCTATGTGCTAGCTCACCATGAGTTGGAATCAACTCCACAGCGATGGGTTTGCTGTTTTTTTGTTTTGTTTTAGTTTATGTACTAGGTGCAGTGGTATAGTAGTGAACAAGAGAAATACTGTCCTAGCCTTCATACTAGCTCACATTATGACAATCACGTTAAAATCTTTATCTGAAGCCCTGACAGCCCTCTACTTCTCCAAGCTTCAGACTCTTAAGTGGGCACTTGCATGTGTATGCTCTATACAAAAAAAAAAATAACCAAACCCACTGCTGTTGAGTCGATTCCAACTCACAGTGACCCTACAGGACAGAGTAGCACTGCCCCATAGGGTTTCCAAGGCTGTAAATCTTTACAGAAGCAGACTGCCACATCTTTCTCCAGCAGAACGGTTGGTGGGTTCAAACCACCAAACTTTTGGTTAGCAGCTGAGCGCTTTAACCACTGCACCATCAGGGCTCTGTATGCTCCACAGGTAGCTTAAACACAACCTATTTCTTTCCCTTACTACACATCCCCAAATAAGCTAAAAAAGCCAGAAAACCACATAAAATCCTCCACTCTTCATCAATCCCAAAGTCCCATATATATCTCATTCTCCCTTGAATCTGTTCTTCTGTTTCCATCACCATTACCACTATCTTAATTTAGCGCTTTTCATTTCTTGCTCCACTAACATCAGATACTCTTTCCTTGTTCTCTCTCGTGTTGCTATTTTCCAAACCACCATCCTCTACAATCACCGTCACTGTGGCATGTTGCTGCCCTGCTTAAAGAGCCACCCAAACTCTCTATGGGCCAAATTACAAGCTGTTTAGCGCAGCATGTATTGTCTTTCATGACTGGACCTTCCCTACCACAATAACCTTATTTTCTATAATCATCTGCTTATGCCTTATGTTCCACCAGTATTAAACTATTTGAAGCTTTCTAAACATAAGGAGCCCTGGTAGCGCACTGGTTAAGAGCCTGGCTGCGAACCAAAAGGTCAGCAGTTTGAATCCATCAGCCGCTCCTTGCTAACCCTATGGGGCAGTTCTACTCTCTCCTATAGGGTTACTATGAGTCAGAACCGACTTGAGAGCACATAACAACAACAGATACAACAAGCTATTTGCCTTAGCTAATTATTGTTCCATAGGAAATGTACATCCCTCTTTGTCTCCATATGAACTTATTTATCTTTTAAAACCTCCTCAGAGATCACCTGAGATGCCTCTGATATCTCTTTCTACCAGGTACTATCAAGTCAATTCTGACTCATGGCGACCCCATGTCTGTCAGAGCAGAACTGTGTTCCATAGTGTTTTCAATGGCTGATTTTTCAGAAGTAAATTATTAGGCCTTTTCTTCTGAGGTGCCTCTGGGTGTACTCAAACTGCCAACCTTGCAGTTAGCAGCCAAGTGTATTAACTGTTTGCACCACCTAAAATACTGTCTACTATACCTTGAACATATTTTTGGTACATAGTATTATATTGTTTACATGTCTTTGCCTGGCAGATAGTGCTGGAATGAACAAAGAGCATTAAGTTCTGTGATAACCTGCAGATGGAATGAGACATCATTTCTCCATGACTTACTTATTTCTGGAGTAACTGGGAGAAATTAATATTTAAGGCATGAATTCAAGAAAGCACTACCCTCCATTTACCTACTTCGTAGGACACATCAAAAAAATATTGCTAAAAATAAAAAGGCAATATGAACATGAAAAGCATCAAGCAGGCCCACAGTAAAGCTTACTTTTTGTTCATAAATTTAAAACCTATAAACCAAAATACCCAAGCCGGTGCCGTCAAGTCGATTCCAACTCATATCGACCCTATAGGACAGAGCAGAACCGCCCCATAGGGTTTCCAAGGAGTGGCTGGTGGATTCAAACTGCTTACCATTTGGTTAGCAGCCAAGCTCTTTAACCACTGTGCCACCAGGGCTCCAAACTTACCCATAGCAAGTAATAATTCATTTTATGTAACTTCAAATATTTTAATGGGCATTCATTTGGAAGGCAGAAGTAAAAAGAACTGTCAAATTTCACTAAGAATGCCAAAAGCAGATAATTCACTTTGCAATGCCAAGGTTTAAAATTGTACTTACTGTCATATAATTTTGCTACTTACAGTTCTTTTTTGAGCATTTATCAGCAATTCTTGAAAAATTCAGATGTAAATAGTAAATAAACAGTATAAAGAAAATAAATCAGTATTAAAAGCAAACAAATAGAACACACACACAAAAATAAAGAATTGGAACGTACTTGGAGGACGGTAGTTCCCGGTTCCACCATGACAGACTGACCATCCACAAATACTTCAATCAAGTTGCTTGCTGCTGTGGAAGTTGTGCGAACTAACCATCAAAAATATTAAGGTGGGGGAAAAAATTGAGGTGGAAAACAAACTAATAGAGTTGAATTTATTATAGTAGCTTAACAAAATTTAACTGCTTAAAATCTACGAGCTTAAGATTTTTATTTTATACTATTCCCCTCTAGTTCTTTAGTGCAAACTTAAAATACTGAATTAGAAAAAGCTTTTCAATACTGAATATCAAATAGGATATGGCTGTCTACTTTTAATAGTAGTTTCATTTGAAATTTTTAATACCACTTCATGGGAAGACCACTTTTCAAAAGGAGAATGACTGTGCCTTTTCCATTTTCCCACTGATAGGCAGTCCCTACTACTTTCTATTCCCATGATAATTTCTGTAAACTGCTTAACGTAAAGTTGTATTTTGAAAATTATCCTATTCAACTTGCTTTACTTGTTTCTATATTTACTTAAAACTAATTATGGTTTTAGGGTCTTTTAAGAAGCATTCTATAGACCTAGGGATTTACAAAGATATAATGCCTAGTGCCCACAAATGCAGATCTAAAAAAATACTCACCACATCCTTTAGGAGACTTAGCAAGGCCTGCTAAGGCCCTTCTTAAAGGTACCCTTAACATATCACTAAAAATAAAACAAAGAAGAGTTATATTCTTATAAGAGAAAAACTACCAACTTTTTGGTAATATTTCATGTTTTTTTAAAGTATTTTTTTAAAGCACTTTACATATGCTGTCACTGAATACTCACAAGTCTTGATCTTTCCCTCAAATTCTATGTATGAAAAATCTAGACAGTCTCTGAGAGATTAACTAACTTGTACAATGTCAAGGAACTAAAAAGGAGCAGTGAGTGTATAAACTTGGGCCTTCTAATTCTAAGTGAGGGTCAGTTTTATTGTTTTGTTTTAACTATAAAGAAACAATCAAACTTAAACACTACTATATAGTAAAATAGTGGCCCCCAAGTGGTGCAAATGGTTAAGAGCTAGACTACTAACCAAAAGACTGGCGTTTCAAACCCATACAGATGCGCCTTGGAAGACAGTCCTGGAGACCTGCTTCCAAAAGGTGACAGCCTTGAAAGCCCTATAGAGGCTTCTGCATACTTCTGTCACCATGAGTTGGAATCAACTCAATGGTAAACAACAACATATAGTAAAATAAACTCCAAGAATAGTCTTGAGTTTATCATTTTATGTAAAATGAAGCCTACCTTTTTGCCTTCATTTCCTGCCAATATGCATTCTACCATTCTATGTTGTATGTACTAAATGCTCCTTAGACATTCTGAGACAGCTGACAAGCCCAAGCCTTTGAGGCTTCTTGAGCGCTATTCTCGCTAGTACAGCTGAGTAGTACATTTATCTTACAGATTTGCAATGATCTGTTTATGCTATTTCTACCCTCACTGTATTACGGACTTCCTGAAACTATCTTCAGTACCTATCCCCAAGCCTGGCACACAGTAAGCTCTAAAACAGTGGTTCTCAACCAGGGATAATTGTGCCCCCAAGAGACATTGTTGGTTGTCACAGCTTGAGGGAAGCTACTGGCATCTGGTGGATAGAAGCCAGGATGCTGCCAAACAGCCTACAATGCACAGGACAGTCCCCCACAACACAGAATTATCCAGACCAAACTGTCAATAGAGTTGAAGCAGAAAAACTGTGTTAAAAGGTTTGCCGAATTATTGAAATAAATGGGAGTAGATTAAATAAAGAACATGATAAATAAAGATACACATAAGCAAAAAAAAAAAAAGTTACCTGAACTTTTAAGTTTTTTGTCTGCTTATTGACCATATGGGCTAAGCATCGAAAATGATAATTTTTCATTTGGAACTTTTTAAAAGGCATTTAAAATGCAAATTATGTGATGACTAAAATGTATCAACATGAAGTACTTCCAACAGTAAAGGGAGAGCAAAATAGTATGTAAATTTTAAACACAAAGCTTTGTATTTCTACCAGAGATTATATAAAATGGGAAATTTCATTAATTCAGACTTCACAAATTATATTAATTCAGAATATGTAATACTAAATTTATAGACACTGAGCATGTCATCAACTAGTAAATGATTTTTGGCAAACCAGAGCTTCTTTATCTATAAAGCAGGAGGAAAACAATACTTTCTAGACATAAGTGTTATTATAACCAAAACCAAACCAGTTGCTGTCGAGTCAATTCCAACTCAGAGCGACCCTACAGGACACAGCAGAACTGCCCCACAGGGTTTCCAAGGAGCAGCTGGTGGATTTGAACTGCCGACCTTTTGGTTAGCAGCCGAGCTTTTAACTACTGTGTCACCAAGACTCCTTGTGTGTTATTATAGGAGCTCAGTAAATGTCAGTTAAAGCTAAATTCAATTTAGGCAGTACTGGGCATCAAAGGGAGCCCTGGTGGTGCAGTGGTTAACAGCTCAGCTGCTAATCAAAAAGTCGGCAGTTTGCATTCAAGGAAGCCAGCATAACCCTGATACCAAAACCAGGTAAAGACACCACAAAAAAAGAAAATTACAGACCAATATCCCTCATGAACATTGACGCAAAAATCCTCAACAAAATTCTAGCCAATAGAATTCAGCAACATATCAAAAAAATAATTCACCATGATCAAGTGCTATTTGTACCAGGTATGCAGGGATGGCTCAACATTAGAAAAACAATCAATGTAATCCATCACATAAATAAAACAAAAGACAAGAACCACATGATCTTATCAATCGATGCAGAAAAGGCATTTGACAAAGTCTAAGACCCATTCATGACTAAAACTCTCAACAAAATAGGAATAGAAGGGAAATTCCTCAATATCATTAAGGGCATTTACACAAAGCCAAGAGCCAACATCATCCTAAATGGAGAGACTTTGAAAGCATTCCCCTTGAGAACAGGAAACAGACAAGGATGCCCTTTATCACCACTCTTGTTCAACACTGTGCTGGAGGTCCTAGCCGGAGCAATTAGGCTAGAAAAAGAAATAAAGGGCATCCAAATTGGTAGGGAAGAAGTCAAAGTATCTCTATTTGCAGATGATATGATCTTATACACAGAAAACCCCAAAGAATCCACAAGAAAACTACTGGAACTAATAGAAGATTCCAGCAAAGTTTCAGGACACAAGATAAACATACAAAAATTAGTTGGATTCCTTTACACCAACAAAGAGAACCTCGAAGAGGAAATCACCAAATCTATACCATTTACAATAGCCCCCAAGAAGATACTTAGGAATAAATCTAACCAGAGACGAAAAGTAGAAAACACTACTGCAAGAAACCAAAAGAGACCTGGGTAAGTGGAAAAACATACCTTGCTCATGGATAGGTAGCCTCAACATTGTGAAAATGTCAATTCTACCCAAAGCCATCTACAGATACAATGCAATCCCGATCCAAATTCCACTGGCATTTTTTAATGAGATGGAGAAACAAATCACCAACTTCATATGGAAAGGAATTAGACTGAATATTTTTCAGTGTGGGTAGGGATTATACTATGGAGTGTTCACCACAATGTGTCCTGCATATATCCACTTCTCTTCCTCCATGCTACCACTCCACTGCAAGCCACCATCACCCCCTGCCTGGACTATTACTTGCCTGGAGTTTCTTAATAGGTGTCCAGGCTTCCACACTGGCCCTACAGCTCCTCCCCTCTTCGCACTTCTGACAGAAATCTAAGAGAACTCAGATCTTTCTGGGCCTTCATTCTTCAAGTCTTGGCTTAAAAACCATTCCTAAGGGAGACTTTCCTTGATTAGCCTATCCAAAATTTCATGACTACTCCCCAGTCATACTACCTCATTTTAGTTTTCTTCATGGACTCATTTCTGGCTTATAGTAGACGTTCAATAACTATTTGCTAAATGAATTCTGTCTCTGATCTCTGCCCGTAATTTAGAGACCACTTTCCTGGATAAGCGTACACGCTCTGGCAGGCTAATACAATTGCCGCACAACGTGATGGGGAAGAAGAACACTGCAAACAACGAACTTGATGTTGATTCACCAGCAACAGTTCCCATTACACTTTCTATACTCTCAGTTTGTTTTTGTACAGTTGTGTCTGATCCACGATCTTACAGTACATGCATTAGAACCCAAAAACTTTTAAATAACAGCTTTGTTACTCGCGGAGCGACCCTGAACTAACTTTTTAAATTTCCCCTTCCTCAGTTTCCCCATCAAAGGAATAAACAATACTACCCAACGCAATAATCAATGGACAAAACAAAATCTAAAAACAATCAGAGGCGTGAGCGGTTGCTAAGGCAATGGCAGTCAAATAATGAAGTACCGGTACGCGGGTATTTTGGGGGAAACGTTCACGCTTTCGGCCTGTCACTTGACACAGCTGTCCTCTCTCGGTGAACAAAACGGCCTCCTTCCCTGAGAGGGGACTGTGTCCTGCATTTCCCCTGCAGATGAAAGGTCACCCACAAGCCTGCATTCAGGTCAGCGCTCCCTAGGGCTCCTCCTCCTCCTTTCTGCTCTATTAGATCAGAAACCGTGGCTAACAGTCCCCACCTGCCCGCTCCCGGGGGCTCCCGACGCGGTGGGGCGGGACGAGGCGCCCAGTCAAGGACAAGAGAATTTGCCACCTGGGCCGAAAAAAACAGTCGCGCCAAGAAACAAACCCGTGGCCAAGATACTTCAGCCTTCCCACAGAAACGCAGTCTCACCTTCTCTCAGGAGCCGCCGACGCTGCTCTGCTCAATGTTTGGATTACACCGACCCCCTTAGAGGCCGGTCACTCATTCAATATGGCGGCTCCGGCTAACTTCGTCCGCCGGGCTTGGTGAACGGAGAGTCGGAAGGGACTAAAAGCCCCAGATACGACAAATTCCCGCCGAGGTTGAGCTCGGCAATTTCCGTCAATCCGACGCGGGGCGGGAGGAAAGTGGATCGGCGGGGAAGAGGCGAGGGTTGTTGGGGGACGGCTTGAATCCGCAGTTCCGCCGGAAGCGGCCGAGAGGCCCCGAGTCCCAGAGTGTTCGGTAATCTCCGTCGTCTCAAGGGGCGGTTCCCATCGTCTTCGGGAGCCCTGGAAGTACAGATTTAAGAAATGACCCTTTTTATTAATTTATTTCCAAACACAAGAAAAACCCGCGGATTGTTTGTTAGCCATTTAATTTAGAGCCCCAATTTTTATGTTGAGGAATGAGAACGGTAACGTACTTTGACCTTTAACCTTCGGCCGGGTGAGGTGAAGGGAAACGCCTCCGTCTCTATATAAGGAGTTTTCCGGCCTTTCGTGGCTTTTTTTTTCCCCCCTCTCAGCGCGCGTCGCCGTTTGCCTGCGCTCCTCTTTTCCTCAGCCGCCGCTTAGCTCCCGATACAGCCGACATCATGGGCTTCGGAGACCTGAAAACCCCCGCTGGCCTCCAGGTGCTCAACGATTACCTGGCCGACAAGAGCTACATCGAGGGGTGAGCAAACGGGCGGAGACGGGGCGGCGAGGGAGCGTGTGCGGGTCTGTGTCCGGCAGAGACCACGTGGGTCCTGTCGCGGGGGAAGGAGGCCTGGCCGCGGGCCTCTAGAGGGGGCGCGGAAAGCGCCGGTTTCTGGCTCCAAAGTCCGCCATGCCATTCGAGGCCGGCCTCAAGGGACGGGGTTGCGGGGAAATGGAATCTAAAAGAAATTTTTTTTTTCCCCTTGCTATACTCAACCGAATTTTTCCGCGTTTTTGCACGTTTAATAAATGTTAGCCTGTATAGATGGAGCTGTCGTTAGAAATTGCAGTCCTTGAGTTCTTTTCTAAGTAGCAGACATTGCTCAGGGTGGCATGGTGACCCAAACAGGTGGTTCCTGCTCTTAAGGAGCTTATTAAAAAAACCTAAGCAGCTTAGATAGCCAGGTAATAATGGACAAGTTCCCACTAATTAGTTTGAATGTAACTTTTGTCATTTATTTGCTGGTGTATGGCTTTTTTTTTTTGAAAGGCACGTGTAATTATTTTTCTGTCATCGGCAGGTATGTGCCATCACAAGCAGACGTGGCAGTATTTGAAGCAGTCTCCAGCCCACCACCTGCGGACTTGTATCATGCCCTGCGTTGGTATAATCACATCAAGTCTTATGAAAAGGAAAAGGCCAGGTAAAATTTCTTGGTGTTTAGAAGACTAGAATACTTTCTAAACTTAAAATCAGGGTTTTCGCATGACAAAATTGGACCCAGACTACTTTAGTTTTGTTGGGATATTGTAAGCTTAAATTTATTTGTGACTTTAGAAGGCCAAAGAGACTGAAGTCCTCCATTTTTTCACAGAACAGGTAGAACATGGACAACAGCAGTTCAACTTTTCCCCACACTGCCCTGCCAAGGTGCCTCGACCCTGACCTAGGGGGGCCACCTCTGGGGTGAGAGGGTGGCTCATTCATTCAGTCCTTGGCCATTCTTCTGAAACTGCCAACAAGGGTGGAAGTTTGGGGAAGTGGACTCCAGTTCACTAAGAATGGAAATGAGCATACTTAATGAAATCTCAAACAGAAATGTTCATACTGAAAGAGTAAATCATAGTGAGTATTGACTAATGTCTCACATGGTACTAATGTTTGTTGGGTGAGGAGTTGAACGTGTAAAAGTGTTTACCTGGGAGTGTGCTAAAGGGTAAATTTTAGTACAGAAGGGGTCTATTGATAAATAGTGATGAAGACAAGATCACTTGTGTTTGGAGAAGGACGTTATCCCATCCTAATAGTAGCTGAATTTGAATTTTTTATCAAGCCTGCCAGGAGTGAAGAAAGCTTTGGGCAAGTATGGCCCTGCTAATGTGGAAGACACCACAGGAAGTGGAGCTACAGATAGTAAAGATGATGATGACATTGATCTCTTTGGATCTGATGATGAGGAGGTATGACATCTTTATATAAGAGCATAAATTGATAGGTAACATATCATTGTGCTTAAGCACTGGCTTTGTAGCCAAATTGCCTTGATTCAGATTCAGGCTATGCCACTTAACTGTCTTTTAAGACTTCTTACTGGTTACATGATGAATAAAATCAAATCACCATCTTTCGGCTGAGCTCGTGATGGATTTGCTTTTTTCTGATAAAGCTGGTTCTGTTTCTTGTGATGACCCCACTAGTTTTCAGCGGGCGAACAACTAGCTTTTTGAAATACTGCATTTTTCTCTACAGGAAAGTGAAGAAGCGAAGAGGCTAAGAGAAGAACGCCTTGCACAGTATGAGTCAAAGAAAGCCAAAAGTAGGTCATTTTATGATTTGTGTTGATTGTACTTTATTAACTTCATAATGATGATAGGAGGAATCTTTCTAAGCTTGACTCCAGAGTACTTTTCTCTACATTCATTGAATAGATCGGTGTTTAAAAATCTTCCTTTCTCCTAAAACTTCCACAGCTACTGGTCTGCAGCTGTCTTCATGGTAGCAGTTGTGGCATTCCTCTGTGGGAAAGAAACTGTTACATGATTCAGCACCTCTTTCTTAGCAAAACAGAAAGTGGGCATATGTGTGACAGACAAGATGCTTGTTTGGCTATGGAGATGGTCCATTTCAAAACATTGATATTTGATATTAAGTGTTGCACTAGAGTGAAAGAATATGATTATTTGATTAATGCTGTTTCTTGTACTTTTTTAGAACCTGCACTTGTTGCCAAGTCTTCCATCTTACTAGATGTGAAACCTTGGGATGATGAGACAGACATGGCAAAATTGGAAGAGTGTGTTAGAAGCATTCAAGCAGATGGCTTGGTCTGGGGCTCTTGTGAGTTTACTCTTTGCTTTTGGGCATCTGGAATTTGTGTATGGTTTCAACCTTTGCCAATCAGTGACTTTTGTAACTAGTTTTTTGTGTGTGGTGAAATACATATAACAAAACATAAGTGGGAAAATAACAGTATTTGTCCTTTTGTGTCTGACTTGACCTTGCTCATGTAACCTTTTTTTTTTTAAATTCTCTTTTTAGCTAAGCTAGTTCCGGTGGGATACGGAATTAAAAAACTTCAAATACAGTGTGTAGTTGAAGATGATAAAGTTGGTACAGATATGCTGGAGGAAAAGATAACTGCTTTTGAAGACTATGTGCAGTCTATGGATGTGGCTGCTTTCAACAAGATCTAAAATCCATCCTGGATCATTGCACTTAAATAAAAGCTTAAATGACAACCAACCCCTTGGCTCTTGAGTCTATTAAGTAGGGTAGAGTATTTTCCTTTTGAGGAAAGGAACTCGTTAAGTAAGATTCAGAAATGATTTAAATTTGGCTAAGCATTCTTTTAGACATTTAGCCAAAAAGGAAGTTATTAAAAATACTGTGACTACAGGTGGGTGTTTAATAGATTTTTATAAATAATAAAAACACTCAATTTTAGTGCATTTTTGTATGAAGGAGTTATACCCATTAGTGATGCCCTCAGAAATGCATGATACCAGTTTTACCACAGTATTAATACCCATTAAAAAACCCATTGCCTTCGAGTTGATTCTGACTCATAGCAAACCTTATAGGACAGTAGAACTGCCCCCATAAGGTTTTCGAGAAGCAAGTGGTGGATTTGAAGTGCCAACATTTTTTGTTAGCAGCCAAGCTCTTAAATACTGTGCCACCAGGCTTCCTATGTACACACAGCACACCATAAATAATACTGGGTGCGTTTGGAACTGAGGTGAGGGAATTAAGTGAGCAAGGACTAGGCCTGTATTTTTAGTTAAGTAGCAAATGGTTTAATGACTGACTTGATGTAGTTTGTAACCCAGCATCTTAAAGTTGGGTCAGTTGTATTTTAAAAAATTCCATAATTGCAAGTCCCACTAAATACTAAATGCTATGAGGTGGGACACAATGCAACTGGGGGACACCTGTTCCAAAGGAAGGAAGTCAAGTTGGAAAGCTTCCCAGAATTCGTCATGAATTGTCTGCAATGCAGATGTTGCATCACCGTCAAGAGAGAACACGTTTTAAAGCCCATATTGGCAATGTGATTGGGAGTAGCGTTACGTGCTAGAAAAGTTATAATTGATTGGTTTCCAGGCTGTGATTTATGTGCGTGTGGAGGTGGGGACAAGATGTGAGATACTGGATTTAAAACTGATTGAACCTATATTTGAGGGAACTTCAATACTGAGGTAGTCCTGCAGGTAAATGTTCTGGGATGAGGCTGTATGTTTAGTCAAGTGATAAGTCAATTATTGGAAACAGCTGTATCTTAACAGTTAATTTTGGGTATATATAAGATTTTCTTTTACAGTAGTATTTTTCTTTAAAAATGGAGATTTTAAAGTTTCTACCAAATGGGAAAAAAAAAAAAAAAAAAAACCCACTGCCCCGTAGGGTTTCCAAGGTGCGGCTGGTGGATTCAAACATGCTGATCTTTTGGTTAGCATCTGAGCTCCTAACCACTGCACCATCTTATTTTGTAGATATGCGCCAAAGAGAGTAAATGATTTATTTTAGGTCATTTCATACCAAGGCAGTGCTGTTTCTTACCTCTCTGATTTTCTTTAACACTATTGTGGCTGCCTTAAGTGCAGGAATTTGTTTAAATTCTCAAGAAAATTTAATCAGACATGTAGGTATGGAATTAAGTAAAACCCGTCTTCACTAAGCAATGTTTACTACAACAGACCCATTCTAAAATCACCAAAGAAATTTTCATGTCACTATCATAAGAGCCAGTGGAGGGCAGCACTTCATTTCTAAAGAACCAGAGATCCTGGGACACTGGAAATAGCAGACTACCACATTGTACAAACTGCTGTGAAAAAATAGAATCTTAGTAACTAGTGAGTAACCTAAGCAGTCGTTGACATATAAAGGAGATTGAGCACCAACTAATTTGACCAAAATGTTTTTAAGTATTAACAAAAATTGCTAGTGATAAAAAACTAGTGATTAAAAATTTGTTTTTTTAAAAAAAGGCATTCAAATCTTGTGATAGTCAGTTTGGAGCCCTGGTGGTTCAGTGGTCATGTGTTCGGCTGCTAACTAAAAGGTCAGAAATTCAAATCCACCAACCGCTCCTTGGAAACCCTATGGGGCAGTTCTACTCCATACTATAAGGTCCTTATGAGTCGGAATCAACTCAACGGCAACGGCTTTTTTTTTTTTTAATGGTCAATTCAAGTCACAGATATAAACTTATAAGCAGTGAAGCTTACAACTGAAATCTTGATTGCACAGCCTTGAATAATACATAGTTTAATTTCATTTTTAAAAATAGATAATGTTAAGATAATTAGAAGTTCAACGGTATACAGTGAAGTCTCCCCTGTCCCTAGGCCTCCCGTTCACCTCCATGAAAGCAACCAGTGTTACCAGGTTCTTAGATCTTTCCAGAACTCTAAGCATACGCATAGACTTAATAGTACTAGCATTCAACACAACTGTTCTACACCTTGCATTTTTCATTATATCTATCTAAGTAATAAATCTCAGGTATTCCATACAACTACATAAAGAATTTGCTTATTTTTTTTTACCAATTGCATAATCCATTGTCCCATAATTTATTTAACCGGTCGCCTATTGATTGGATCTTTAGCTCTCAATTTTTTCCTATTATGAGCAATGCTGTAGTGGAAAACCTTGAAGATAGTCATTTGCATGTAAGCCAGTATACAACTGAACTGTTTTTAACCCAGTGGGTTCAGAAGAAATAAACAATAACAAAAACCTATTGCTGTCAAGCTGATTCTGTCTCATAGCAACCTATGGGACAGAGTAGAACTGCCCCATATGCTTTCCAAGGAGCTGCTGGTGGATTTGAACTGCCGACCTTTTGGTTAGCAGCCATATCTAACCACTGCACCACCAGGGCTCCAATACATAGATGGTGCCAGGTTACTACCACCGACTGCTCTGACAGGGATCACAATAGAGGGTCCTGGACAGAGCTGGAGAAAAATGTAGAACAAAGTTCTAAACCACAAAAAAACATCAGACTTACTGGCCTGACAGAGACTGGAGAAACCCCGAGAGTATGGCCACCTGGACACCCTTTTAGCTCAGTAATGAAGTCATTCCTGAGGTTTGCCCTTCATCTAAAGACTAGACAGGCCCATAAAACGAGACTAAAGGGGCACACCAGCCCAGGGGCAAGGATGAGAAGGCAGGAGGGGACAGGAAAGCTGATAATAGGGAATCCAAGGTTGAGAAGGGAGAGTGTTAACATGTTGTGTACTAACTGTGTAATAAGAAGGTAGTTTGTTCTGTAAACCTTCATCCAAAGCACAATAAAAAAAAAAGAAAAAAAAACCTGATTCATTCAGTATCACTTTGTTAGATGCTGTAAAGGATACAAAAGAAGAGTTAAGAAAATAACTACAGGGAGGCAGTTCGAACACATAAAAAATTGCTGAGAATAAAAGTCACCGTGATTTAGCAAGTACACCCCAAGTGTATGAAACTGTGTTTTTGACAGAATTGGGACTTAGGCCAGATGGACCTTAATTACTACTTTGGAAGAACAGAGATAGTTCCAGGAGGGTGTGAAAGGCAGAATGACAAAGGCAGGAATGAGAAAAGTGATTTGGGATGCAATTAGGCCAATTTGGCTGGATTTTTGCAGTGTTCATTTGGGATTGATAGGGTGAGGCCAGCTTGTAGAGGCATTTGAATTACAGACTGGCTCAGGAATTTGGACCTCCTTTTGTGAGGGCAATGAGGTTTCCAAACCAGAGATTGACAAAATTAAGGCAGAGTTTTAATCTGTTGATGGTGTGAAAGGAAGCAGGGAAATCAAGAGTCTATTATAATTCAGCATAAATTGTGGCATATGTACTCAAGGAGATATTCTGTAAACTTAATCTAAGTACTTAAGACAGTTTCATGGAGACTATAGCAACACTGAAAAAGTCTGATTTTTCATGAATACTATTGACTATCACTATGAAAGATAGGCTTATGAACAAAGACACAAATATGTAAAGAATTGCATTATCATCACCATTTACAGACAAGGAAACTGAACTCTGAAAGATAACTTTAGAGAGGGAGAACGCAAACCCCGGTCTCTGTATTACAGATCAGATAAAGTGTTGGCAGTAGACTTGGGAAGGTTCTTCATCTTTGCATTTAGGTAGTGTTATACTACTTCATCAGTGTAACCCTAGCTTCACACTCCCAACCAGGGAGGGTGGGAAGATAACAGCACATAGAAGTAAATTTAAAATGGAAATTGAGACTGATAGACATCCTCTTACTGCCTGTTTTATAGGACTATAATAGTTGTATTTAGAAAATAGCCCTGATGAGGGTCTATCGTTTAGAATGTCATTGTCAGGCCTGAACAGCTTTCAGTAAAGTAAAAATCAAATGAAAATGAGTCCGTAGACTTCCAAATATACATCCTAAAAAGAACAGTCCTGGACTTCTGGCAACATGGTGCTCTAGGCAGAGGCACCACGCCGTCCCTCCACAGCAAAGATCTGAAAAACTAAGCCAAACAGAGAGAAAAGCAATCCTGAAACCCTAAAACATCAAATGAAGAGATGAAGAACTCAGCCAAGCACCAAATGGACTGAGAAAACTGACAGAGAATGGAGAACGAGGAGAGGTTCACACAGAGGTCCCCTATCAGCTAACGCAATGTGGATCCACCATCTTGGACTCCTATCAGAGACCAGCAAATAGGGGGTACAAGAAAGCAGCTTCACAGAGCTTCCAGCAGGAGACAGAACAACTGGTAATAGGCGATATATGCTTTCCCACCCCCCACGCTTCTTCACCCCTCAGCCTCCTCTGCTTCCCGAGGCCACAGTCTCTTGGCTGGGAAGCACCGGCTGCTTGGATTTCCCCCGCCAGCACTGACCGACTCCCTGAGTGCCATTTGTTGGCTGCTGGTGTTGCTTTTGTCTGCATCTTTTGATTACTTCCTTACCTCTCATCACCTCCCCCTCCCTTCACTCAAATACTTGGCTCCATGTGCCATCTTTGCTTCTTCCTGGGGGGCTGCAGAGCTCCGTTCGAGTGTGGAACTGCTTCCTGGTCTGGGCTGCCATGCTGGTGGGATCCTGGGGCTTTTGTTTGTTTTGAATTGTTTGTTTGTTTTCTTTTCCTTTTCTCGAGTTGGGAGCCTGTTCTGGCCAAGCAGTGCTACCCGGCTCGGGACCTACCCCCACAGCTTGCGCAGACCGCAGAGGGATCCCTGAGTGCATTTCTCTTTTTTTCGT